TGGAGGCGTAGGAAAAGCCAAGGAGGGTAAGCATGTCTGCAAACAGCAAAACACCGCCTTCCATTTACCTCCACGGAAGTATCCCCTTTCAAATCACATCCTCCCGGAGCCTCCACCCACTCAAGTCAAACTCTGAATGACAGCCTAAAACTATAGCCCACGTGTGTTAAACGCTGCATGTACACTAAGCACTTTACGGTGACTATTAGTTTCTTTTATTAGAGAGACTTTTGCTGTAGGAGGCATGTGCTCGCTGGAGAGACACAGAGAGACAGAGAGACAGAAAGCTCACTGCAGTTTGAGTCCCAGACCTGGCAGCTTGCTTTCTCACTTTCTTTCTCTCTCTCTCTCTCTGTCTTTCCCCACTCTGGTGAATTAAAATAATAATAATAAATTAATTAATTAATTCTAAAAAAAAAAAAGGTGGAGCAGGAATCCAAACCCAAGGAACCTGGTCTCAGAATCTATCATTAAAACTACTCTATTTTGAGGCCAGCAGGTGGCATAGTAGTTAAGTGCTGGACTCCCACATGGTTGACCGCAGTTCAAGGTCCTGACCAGATGGCTTGAAACTCCCACAGGCACATGTGCATGCATGCCAAAATTCCGAGAGGAGAATGGAGAAGGGATTGCAACATGGCCATCCTCTCTGGGGGAGTGATTTCTTGCTTTCTGTCTCTCTCTCTTTCTGGCAAATGTATGCACCCTATGGCAAAAATCTCTCAAAAACAAACAAAAAAACTAAAAGACTACACTTTTTTTTTTCTTTTGTGCAAACTTTCCACATAAACGCAACATATTACCCAACATAAATACTCCTAAATGCCCCTTAAAACTGAGGAGTCTTCCACTTCAGTTGGCAAATGAGGAGGAATTCTTTTCTGCAGCTCTAGAAAACAGGGCTCTCCATACACATTGATTTTTCAATGCCAGATGGCACATGCATGTACATTAAGAGAGAAAGAGTGAGTCCCCCCACAGACCCAGTCAAGCCACGATCCTTTTCCCTCCACTCTCCATCCCAGAGCTGGAGTGTTTCTAAGCCACTGGGCCAGGACTGGAGCCCTGACTGGTCATGTGGCCTCCAGCTTCTTACACACAGCAGTCTCCACTGTACTGTGGGCCCAGCCCCCAGAACAAATCTCGAAGGGGAAACTGAGGTATTTCACTTATATTTAATCCTACTATGGGGACCGGTTTCCCATAACCTCCCTAACCCACTGAAGTAAAAACAATGATTTAACTCAACCTGGGCATAAAGATCCTTCTTAAATTGCTCCTTGGTTTAAAGAGCCATGAAATGTTGAAATAATCTGCTTTCCTGGGCTTCTCGAGAAGAGGAGAGTTGGGAACCAGTAGTTAGCGTAATGGCTACGTCGCTGGACTCCCATGTAATCGACTGCAGTTCGCGTCCCGGACCCAGTGGCTTAAAACTCACGCCGGGCGCATGTGCGTGCGTGCCCAAGATCCCGAGAGGAGAATGGAGGAGAAGAGATTGCGGCGTGACCATCCCCCCTGGGAGATGATTTCTCACTTTCTGTCTCTATGTCTCTCTCTGTCTGTCTGGTGAGCGCACGCGCCCTATAGCAAAAAAAAAAAAAAACAACTCTCCAAAAAAAAAAAAATTAGAAGAGGAGAGTTGACTTCTACATACGTCACCAGATACCAAGACTGCACATGCTAGACATCTCAGTTCTCATTCCCAAAAAGAAAAAGTAGCTTGTGTATTACAGAGAGGCACCTCTGGCTCAGTATGGTTTAGAAAGCGTAAGAGCAGGTTTTAGCATCTCGGGCCCTGCGTATATATTTAGTAGGATTCGTAAGCCAGTTTCCCCCCAATGTCCATAAATCTACCTGTTTCATTACAGGTCGGGATGCATTTGGGAACCCCCAAGGGTGGAATTACCAATTTAAACAGAAAGACTTGAAGCTTTTTTTTCCCCCCTCAATAAGGAGGAGCACGGCTTCACAAATGGAAACACTGCAGAGGCATCTTCAGAACCTGGGGAGAAAAATTCACCGAAGAGGTTGCTCTCAGCTCAACCGTGGTTTAGCATCCTCCATTTGAGTGGAGCACAGGAGACCAGATGGCCATGCTGGAGCCCCAGGAAGCCCTCTGTGGGAGATGGCTGTGAGGTATCTGACACGTGGCAGAAACTCGGGGCTTGATTCGGCTCGACCTGACTCCACTAAGAGCCTTCACAAAGGATGTCTCCAGAGTGGAAAGAATGAAAAGCGGGTGAGGATGAGCCTCTCTCTCTTCTACCCGAGGATCACAGGGAAGCAGGTCTAACAAGAGAACTCAAACCAAGAGACCACGGGAGGAAGATCGCAGAAACAAAGATCTAAAACAATTTATAAAAACACATGCCTTTTAAACCCAGCAAAGCCAAAGCCATGGCAGTTTTCTTATAAAATCTACACTTTTCTCTCTCTCTCTCTCTTTTTTTTTCCAGAGAGAGAATTTTGCTATAGGGCACATTGCTCGCTGGAGAGACAGAGAGATACACAGGAACAGAAAGCAAGAAATCACCACCCCTCCCAGGATGGGGGGCCATGCCACAATCCCCTCTTCTCCATTCTCCTCTTGGGATTTGGGGCATACATGCACACAGGAATGAGTTTTAAGCCACCGGGTCCAGGACTCAAACTGTGGTCGACTACATGGGAGTCCAGTGATGTAAGCATTATGCCATCTGCTGGTCCCCAAATCTATACTTTTGATAGTTGTATAATTTGGAGTTCTACTGTAGCTTGCCCTGGGTGTAATGTTGTTATCTCATAATTAAAAGTAATTAACAAAAGTGAATTTTGGAGCAGGAGAGGACTTTATATTTTTGTTTATTAATTTTTTAATTTGCCATCGGGCACGTGCACTCACTAGAGAGACAGAGATGAAGAGAGAGGAGGAAAGTGAAAAACTATCCCCCAGGGAGATGGCCACACAGCAATCCTTTCTTCTCCATTCACCTCTTCGGATCGTGGGCACAAGCGTGCATGTGTGCACATGCGCAATACAGACACCTTAATTACCATGCCACTGGCTAGCCCTTACTTTTTTTCTTAAGTTAGCTTTTTTACAAACTTGGGGTAGGGGAACAACCCAACAGTCTTTATGCCACTATCCACCCCTAGCTTGAGCCCACGGGATCAGGGGCATCAAGAGCCTGGCATGTATGGGACAGGCCTGATGGGCACACCTGGGACCTTCCCATATGGTCTGGTTCACTGCCACGGCACCACCAACTGGTCCCAGAGAAAGACTTCAGAGTGCATCGAGCCCAGCAGAACATACAGACTACTGCTTAGTAACTGTGGCCGGTTAGAGTGCTGTATCGATTAGTGATGTCTGCCACACAGCAGAATGGGGAGTAGTGCACCAGCACTGGCCACCAATAAGCAATTAATTTATGGGCTGGAAAATGCAGTTTTCCCTGGAACGTAAGCTCCATGAGGACAGGGACCTTACTTCATTTATTAGCCCATCCTCAGAGCCTAGAACAGTGCCCAGCACTTGACTGGGCTCCATAAATAGCTGGGAATGGAGCCCAGCCCAAGTGGCATGTGCCGTGGAGACACTGGGATCCACAGGCTGGGACTGCATGGAAGACCTGGGTTTGATTCCTAGTACCACCTATGGTCAGGTACAGTGCCGTATGCCTGTAACCCTAGAGACTTGGGGAGGTTTAGCCAGGAAGAGTGAGTTCAAGGCTGGCCTGGGCAACATAATGAGACCCTGTCATGGGGAAAAAAAAAGAAAGATGAATGAATGAACAAATACAAGGCAAGATTAGGAGCTGTCTCACTTTCCCTCTAAACTTCCTCAAATTCGGTAATGTGTACCAGGCTGTGTAACCCCAGTGAAAGTCTTTCTTCCAAATCCTCCCCCAGATCCACTTCTTTGGTTTACCTCGAAGGCATCATTCAGACATAAACACAAAACATGAGGAAATCAGTACCCGTTTTGTTTTTTTTAGGAGATTTTTGCTATAGGGCACATGCACTCATTGGAGAGACAGAGAGACAGAAAGCGAGAAATCACCCCCCATGCGGTGGCCATGCCCCAATCCCTTCTCCTCCAGTCTCCTCTCAGGATTTTGGGCACACACACACATGTACCCGGTGTGAGTTTGAAGCCACTGGGTTCAGGACTTGACTGGCAGCCGACCACGTGGGAGTCCAGCGACACAACCACTATGCCATTTGCCAGCCCCTCAGTTCCTATTAAAACCCTTCCCCCTTGACTGTTTTAATTCCTGAAATTTTAAAAGAGGCATATGATATCATATGATGCAAACCCTTTCATTTGTAGATAAGAAAAGCATTAGTGTCTAGCTGAAGGTATGCAGCGAATGAAAGACTCAGCTTTGACTTGAACCTGGTCTCCCCCCAAACCAATGGGCTTTTTCTACCACATCCCATCTCCACGTCCTCCCAGGGAGAGCTACAGCTGGAGTCTAGCGGCCTGCCCCTGTGCGGATATGCAGGTGGTTCCTCACTGAAATATTCCTGTGGGTTAGCTACCAATGCTGCCTTGAAACTCCAATGCCCCACAGCCCACCTGGCCCCTCCTTTGGGTCAGAGCCTGGCTTCCAGGGGCCTCCAGCACCACCCTGCTTCAGCACTAAGGCCAGCGCCCCGGTCCACTGCAGGGCCCCTCTCCTGACTGCTTCTTAAATATTCTGAGGCTCATCCTGGATGGGGTGGGAGGCATGGTGGCCACTCTAGTTCGGCTGAGTGATCAGAACCCTAACATGGACACCCTGCTCTGGGAAAGGCCCCAACTCTACAGAGCAAAGCTTCACTCAGGACATGTTTCACATGCATAATGATGCCGCTGAGATCCGTAGATCACAGTGGAGACGTTAGAGACAGATCCCCCTGAGGGTGAGAACTCTCTCGCTTTCTGTCTCTCTGTCTCTCTCCTTTTGGTGAGCGCGTGCACCCTATAGCAAAAACCTCTCTGAAAGAAAGAAAGAAAGAAAGAAAGAAAGAAAGAAAGAAAGAAAGAAAGAAAGAAAGAAAGGAAAATGGAC